TTGGTTCCCACAAGCATCTCATTTAAGTATGACTTCCTAACAATTAAGGTACTAACACAATCTTTGTAGCGTCACGTTAAGGTTATGTATAATAGTCGCATGCAACACATGGATTAGTGCCAGCTAGCATAATAATTCAATGCTATCTTATCTTTAAACTGCATTTTAAGAAAAACGTTAGCTGTATTCAAGTCAAACACCCTGTCTTGATAATAGGGGGTAATGTCATGGTTACTTAAGGAATTGTTGGATCTATACAAAATATAAGTGTGTGTTTAATTTATTAAGTTTTATTAATTTATAATTGTTAAGGTGCTTGATAATATTATTTTATAAATTAATTTTAAATTATTAAATAATAAATATCACATATTTTATCTATTATTAATTAATAATTATAGCTATTAATTATTTTTAATTTCTAAATGTGTACTGATTAAAATTCAGCAAAGGATTTTTTTTGAAGGGAGCAGATTTAATTAGGGAGAAAGATTTCGTGGATGAGTTGGGATTCATTTGTAGGGATAAGGATGGAGGTGGATTTAATATATTCACTAGAATGAATTAATATTGTCAGTTACTTACCTTTTAAGATTAAAATTTATTTTTATTCTCAAAATGATTTTTTTAATTTATAACTTAAGGATATATGTTAAAAATATATTTTTTATAATAAATATATAAAAATATATAAAAATTAGTAATAATTCTTATATTTGATAAATTTAATTAAATAATTAATAATTTAAAAATTAATTTTTATTTTTAATATAAATTTGTAATAAAAAATATATTAAATATATTTTTAATTTATATTTTAAAAACATAAATTAAACAAACTCTTTAAAAACAAAAGTTAACCTTGACACTCTTTCGAACGACATATAAGCAGGAAAAAGAGAAGATAGCGCCGCCAAAGTCACAAGAGTTTAACTAATGGCCAAAGCCCTTATTTGCACCTTTCATTTATTTTTTTTTCGTGGTCAACACTTTTTAGAATTTTTCCTTTCTATTCACACTTTTCATTTTTCAAAACCCGTGAAAAACTTAATATTTTAACGGATCGTCACGGAACCGTTAATAACTGTTAAAAATTGTAATACGTGACATCAAACAGTAACATAATCCAATGTGGACTTTTTTTTTGATGATATGGCATAATAAAATCATAATTAATTTTAATTTTTTCATTTTCTTCTTTCCCACATCATCTTTACCATCTTCCTCTTCATCTTCCTGGGTTCCTCATGGAACCAGGTACCTAGAACTTTTTTTTATAATGTGTTATAATTAAATCATCATTAATTTTAATTTCTTCATTTTCTTCTTTCTCGACATCATCTTCACCATCCTCATCCTCATCCCCTAGGTTCCTCGCAAAACCCAGGTTCTGAATTCTTCATAGAACCTAATTTCACATGAATGCAAGCTAAGATTTTCATCCACACAATTATAAATAAATGAATACTGCACAAAAACATAATAAGCATCTTTTACTCTTTTCCCACAAAAAACAAAAATTGGCAACCTATTCAGAAACAATTTCCCAGCAAAAAAACTCACTTTTTCAACAAAAAAAAATTATTTCAAATTATTTTGCATAAAATCAAAAGTTAAGATAAATACATTTAAAATATATATATATATATATATATAAAAGGAG